CTGTGATGAACGCCTTACAGAAATCTAGGAATAATGCCACTGCAAATTTTTTTTGGTCTAAACTGCTTGTTATTTCATCAATAACATCAAGTAAACAGTCTATGGTTGTAAGACCAGGTCTGAAGCCATATTGATTTGGAGCTAAAATATTTTCGGTCGACATATAAAATAGAAGTTGTTGATACACACATTTTTCATTCAATTTACAGAGAACTGAAAGGACTGATATTGGACGATAATTATTACATAACTGTTTACTGCCTTGTTTAAAAATTGGGATCACCTTCGCCGTTTTTAATGAGTCAGGAAATATTTTCTGTTTTAATGATTAATTTATAATATAGGTAAGTGGCCGGTAAATTTCTGTTGAAGCTTTGGATAATAAGAGTGGATGAATTTTTTCAGCACCAATTGATTTTTTTTGTGTCAAGGCTTTCTAGAAATAACAATAATAATAATAATTTAAAATTTCTATAGCGTTAGTATCCGCTTGTTCAATAACGCTTTACAGTTTTTTAAATAAGAACATTTAACTTTGTAATTTCATTAAAAACAATTACATTGCATCAAATTCAATAAAAATCATTTATTAAAACTCAAGTAAAAATTTTAATATAAAATAATAAAAGTCAATTAGATTAATCATATGCGTTCTTGAAAAGCCAGGTCTTCAAATCTATTTTGAAAGTAGAGATAGATGTGCTGGACCTGATTTTAACTGGCAAGGAATTCCACAAATCAGGAGCAGCAAAAGAGAAAGCTCTTTTTCCATAAAGATTGAGATTGTAAGATGGTTTACATAACAGGTTTAATGATGAAGATCTCAAAGAACGAATAGGGACATAAGATTTTATAATGTCAGAAAGATAAGAAGGAGCACTGTTGTTTAAAGCTTTATATGTCAATAAAAGAATTTTGAATTCAATACGTTGTTCCACTGGCAACCAGTGTAAAGTAAAAAAGAACGGGAGTAATGTGTTCATGCTTACGAGAGAAACTAACAAGTCTCGCTGCAGCATTTTGCACATGCTGTAGTTTATAACAAAACCTCGATCTCGTTTACTTCCTCAAAGGAAGTAATTTACTTGATAATTTAGTTAAATATGAGGAATAATGGCGTGTAGAGGGTGAACTCTTAACAAAGTGTAGATGCAACTTTACAAAAATAATTATTTAGGCTGTTAGATATTGAGTTCGGTTGGTTAAACTCTTTGCCATCATATTTGAGTTTGTTAATATCAGGATTCGTGCTACTCCTTGAAATCCTTGAAAAGTCCTAGAATTGAAAACGCGTTTTTAAGGGCGATTGAAAAGCCCTTGAAAATAGGGGAAAACGCCAAAACTCCTGGAATACTCCTTGAATTTATGCAAACTTAATGTCATTCCTAGCTTACCTTTTAAAATAAATAACGATGAAAATTGATAGAAGAGTTTCTGGTTGTTTGTTTAGATGTTGTTTGCATGTCATGCTCGTTTTTTATCTAATCCAGTGGTCCAGGCTGAATTAGCTGCACTTTAACTTTGTCCTTGAAAGTCGAATTTTTGTGCTTGAAAAGTGCTTAAAAAGTCCTTCAATTTTGTAACGATTTGTAACGAGAATGTAGCACGAACCCTGTAATATAACAAGAAGGCTTTTTTTTTATTATTGTGTTGATGTTATCCCACATTTTTTTCGTGTTTTTTGAATTTGCTAATACCTCAGGATAGAAATGGTCACTATAAATTTTATTTATAGGAGTTATTTTATTACAGTTTACTTTGAACTTAATGAAATAATCTCTATTACGAGTAAATAGCCATTGTTTATATAATGTGTCTCTTATATTAATAGATTGTTTTAGACCTGATGTTATTCAGTGTTTATAATATTTGTTTTTCAGCTTGATAGATTTTAATGGAGCATGTTTTTTACTTAGTTTATTGAAAATGTGAAGAAATCTATCGAGGCTTTTATTTACGTTAGTACTATTGTAAACTACAGACCACTCTTGTTGAGTAGTCTTGTTCAGTTTTGAACAAATATACTATCAAAGTTTTTAAAGTCACGAAATTCAATTTTATCAGGATATGGACTGTGTTTAGGCTCGTATGAAATAGTAAAGACTGCAAGGTGATCGGCAATTTCGGCAACAATGCTGCCACTTGTAGTAGACGATTCGAAATTTGTGTGTACATGGTCAATACAGCTTTGAGAATGCTCTGTTATACGAGTTGCTTCGCTAATTAACGGAATAAAGCCTTCGGAATGAATGAGTTTGATTGATTCTTAGAAAACTTGTTTTTCTTTAAGGTGTTTATATTGATGTCACCCAAGATAAAACATTTCTTTTTTGAAAGATGAATTTTATGTAAAATTTTCCATGAAAAATGGATTTGAAAAATTTGGAGGTTGATATATGATACTTATTATCAAATCTTGCGTTTCAATCCATAAAGTTTCATCAAGCTTTAAGTCATTTCTTATGTTAATACAATAGTTAGATTTAATGAACGATGCGACTCCTCTGCCTGGAGAGATTACCCTATGTTTGCCAATCAAAGTGTAATTAGGTAGTTTAAACTTTTCCAGATCAGATTGAGAGTTTATCCATGTCTCTCAGTAACCGACAAAATCAAATTTGAAAGGGATTGAGTCAAGTATATCACGAAAATCGTTGAAATGCTTGTTTAGACTTCTTGCGTCCAAATGCGATAGAGCATATTGAGGTTTTACAATAGAAGAGAGTTCATGTAGCTCTTCTATTGTAAACAAACCCATGATCATTAAATGATTTTATGTTTACATCGGAGTCATTTGCATACTTATCCATGATTCAGGTCATGAAAATTATAATAAGCAAAAGATAAAATAGCGTTGAAGTGTCTATGAATTGCAGTTCAATCCAATTATTAAATTGAAAATATGAGAAATATATAATTTAACTATATTAACAAGAAGTATTATACTTAACTCAATGTTGAATATGAAGTTGTCCATCAATACAATACAGGAGGCCATTATGAAATCTTGGTTTGCGACCTTACTGGAAAGCCTCTCTCATAATATCTTTGTACTGTGTCTTTTTTACCAGATCTTTTTAAATCAAATCTTCAGATACGTACACATTGTCCTTCAGGTTTCGCTTTTTTTGTAAAAATTTATATCTTTCTGGTCTGTGGGGAATTTTGCGATAATTGGGCGAGGTCTTCCAGGTTTACGTCTTCCAGTTCGATGAAGAATTAAATCTTGAAGTTTTGAGATGCAATCTTCACATGAATCCTCTTTAATGTTATAGAATCTGCTATAGTCAAGATAACTGTTCAGCCAAAAATCTGTCATTCTAATCTGGAAGGCTGGAATTCAGTGTTGTACAATTTTTATTTAAAATCGATGTCGTTGGCCAGGAATTCTACCAAACTATATCATAACTGAACCTAAACAGTTTTGGAAGTCTTTTTACTTCCAAGCATATATGTTGACTATATGTTTTCCTAATTTTCAAAAGAAGAACAAACTATCTGGTATTGCAACTTACAATCATCTCATAGAGTGACTTTATTTATATTTTATTGTTTCAGGTCATTCAATTAAAGGTATTATTGTAGACTTAATGGATCGAGATGTTGAGAGTATTTGTTGTCATGAAGTACTTCAAATAATAAGCAAAAAACAGCAAGTTTTCGAAGAGGAAAATCTTAGGGAGCCAATTTCTTGTATTACCAATAATCCTGTTTTCAAGGCAGTCTGTTTAATTCGATTGGTACTGTAAGCTGCATGGTTTCAGTATTGACAGTATTATGGCAATAAGGCTTACCAAGGTTCTGAACATATGAGAAATCGACACATTGGATATAGGCAGTTGGTTCGATGGTGCTGGGGCGTTTTAGGTAAAGAAATCAGGGTGGTTTTACCTTCATGTGCAGTGATGTGTATTCGTGCCCATTTCCCACAATCTGGTCTTGAGGAAGATTTTGAGGACACTGATTTTCTTTATGCTGATGAGTAAAACTTTCTTCTGTCCCAATTCCTTAAGATATTGAAATAATAAAGCATGTTTAAAGTGATTGAGATAAATCCTAAAAGCATCTGGCTAATTAGTACGAGATACTGTAGCATTCATAAATAATAGAAAAACCCAAAGTATTTTGCAGAAATTATTGTTTTTGAAATTTAGAATGTTTAGAATTTTTAGGAGTATATTGGCAGTAACCTACTTAGCTTATGAACATTTAATTTTTTTTAAGGTGACATGTTCAAATCATTCTGTGTCTTACCTACATGGACTAATGAGAAATCAACTATTTTATTGGTATATAAATTTTGTTTCAACGATGGTTGATTTTAAATCATCGTTATTGACAAACGTTAGTCGTCATCATCATCATCATTTTGGCCGCTGTTGTCTTCTTTATCATCCTCATCAGGATCTTCCGATGCATTGTGGAGATTCTCACATGGATCTGATTGATCAGCACACATGCATGCATCTGTGCACGTTATGCCATTTCTCTGACAAGTACAGTGGCCAGTTGAACATTTTCCAGTGCATCCACACATTATCAAATCAAGAAGTGCTGCTGGTGCAGGAGGGAGTGGCTTTCTTCTTGAATGATCCATCCGTGGTTTTCAGGTGATGGGACATTGGGCACTGCATCAGAAATCGAATTTACATAATTAAACTTTATGGTAAATTGCAATGTAAATATCGAGTTTTGGAATTTAATGGTATTTAATCTAAGTAAATTTCGCATTTGGGGTTTAATATGTTTTAAAGCTCAAGTAAATTTCAGATTTAATTGCATTGTTCTTAATCTTAAATTTGATGGTAAATTTAGAAGTAAATTACAAGTAAATTCAAATTAATTTCTATTGTAATTTCCGGATTTAATAGGATTTAATGTTGATATCCAAACGCAAGTAAACTCAATGTTTACTTAAGTTTAATTATGCTATAAACCAGTGGTAAACGTTCAGATCACAAAAGCCATGAAGTTTTGATTTTTTTTGCAAAAAAAAAAAAGAAAAAAAGTCTCACATCGATCACAAGCATCACACAATACCCTAAACTGATACCGGACTGATATACAAATGATTTGCTAAATATTAAAAGAACGTTCCCTTGGCGTAATAGCCAGAAGCTGTTCATGTTTATACAGATGAATTGAAGCTATACATTTGCACCGTATGCGTTGAACTGGGATGAAGCTTGCAGGACCATCGATTTCGYATAAGCTTCTGCACCACAGCTCTACAGGATCGCCACAAAGATTTCTCACGTCGTCGTCTAGAGCCTGAAACCAACTAACTTTTGCAAATAAATGAGGTTTACAAACACCATTGGCATCAGTTATGTTATRCAGCAAATAATATTGTACTCTTCCTGGTCTCGTTCTTGATCGAAGAGCAATGTTTCCATCATACCCGACCCATGATGCCATTATAAGAGAGGATCTTTCACTCTTAGTAAGCTCGGAGCCAAAATTTTCGCCGGCAAAGGAAAATGACTTGTAACGTGAAAATGCTTTTGGTATTTCAACTTGGGCATTTTTGTCTTGTATTTGCGGATACAACAATTTATATGCGGATTTAATGTTGTCGTGCTCCAGAGAAGTAAACAGTTTTATTTGTCTTGGAGGGCGCAGCAGGTAGATGTCANACGGAACCTCCGACTTTGTTAGTGTCGCGTTCCCATTTTCTTATGGCGCCCATCCTTTTGGGTGTAAGCTTACCACCACGAGAGGAATCTTTGAAGAACTCTCTTACCAAGTTTCCAACGCAATTACCCGGATGTCTCATTGGTTGCAACTTTCTAACATCCGGCTCCTTAATCTCGTACGCGCCGTAAATGACAACGGTAACCGGGTAAGCAACTTCGTAGAAGAGCATGTCAATTCCCTCTAGTGCACCTGGTTTCGTTTGCTTATTCAAAACAAATAGGTTTCGTTTACCAGACGCCCTGATTGGATTACGGCCCTTTTCTATCACCCATTCGCCGTCTAAGTATTTTACGAATGTCAATTCCAAACGGTAATCGCCGTCCGGCATTCTGTCGATTATCTTTTYGGCCATTTCGCGATTCATCGTCTTGTCTATCTTTCCTTCCATAAACGTCGCAAAGACAAAATCTGCATCTGTATCCATTGCCTGATTTGCCAAACTGCGCACAGTCCTGTTTTGAATGTTGTTAACGGATGCCATAGTATATATCTAAAGRATATCTTTCCCTCCGTTTRCGATCCCCAAATAGAGCAGCAGTAAGGCGCTCTTCGCGATGGAGGCTGATCGCGCAAGACCCCCTGTAGGGCGGATTACCGACCTCTAAAACACCAGGGGGGGCTGATGTTTTTCGACTTGCGATTTTTGCCAATGGAGGCTGATCGCGAGTCCCCCTTACTGCTGCTTGTTCCAATACTAGTTTTCTTCCAAGCCGACCTTAGAAAAAAAGCTATTATTAGTGTTCTGTGATTCCTTGATTCTTGAAACAAGCCTCAGTACACCTGCATGAGAATACTTACCAATTATTAGCCCTTCATTTACGATAATTAGATGGAGATTTTTTACTCAAGTCGTTCTGCTCATACGAAGATTTATATACCAAGATTATGCGAAGAGTTTCACTGAAAGTCAAGTTTTGAAATCACTCTATATAAGATAGACCTTGTGTTAGTGTTAAATAACTCACTGATAAACTGTATGAGCTGCTAAAGTATATATACTTATCTCAGCACGTGAAGTACGCCATATTGGATTAGGAACTACTGGACTGCAGGCTCATTTAGACGCAGGAAGACCAATCAAAACAACATTTGCAGCACTTGAGATTTTATTTTTCAATTGTTTCTTTAATTTTGCATTATTTATTAGATATATATATAATGATTTACATTGATTTCAAGCATACATTTATCAATCTCAGCTCCTCTTTATACACAGACAGTTAGTACTTCTCCTTCCATAAATATGTTCTATTCTTATTTACTACTTGAAAAGAGTACACACAAATAGTAAACATCTATAAGAGTGTTAATTTGTTATAGATAAAAGACTACCAGAGTGTGCATGGAGTTGTTTTCCGATTTTATTCAAGAAATCTTGAAAAACGTAAACCRGAAGTAGTTTAGCTATCAACTTCCGATTTGACGAATAGTACGGAACTTGTCTTTTCTATAGCTAATTTTAAAAATATTTGTTATTACTCTCTGAAAACTAATCAGGTAAGGTCAAACTAAGGTCTTTATAAGAAAAATGCGTGTTTAGCGACGTTTAAAATTATTTAAAAAAACTTTTGCCACTCAATGAATGTAAAATCGTGATTAATGGCCCAAAAATGCTAATAATTCCACATTTCCTGAAAATTTCYTCGTTTTTTCATATGTGTGCATTAGTTTAGCGTATAATAAACACATCAAAGCAGTTTTTACCGAAAATTTGTGTGTGAAACGTGAAAAACGTCAAGAAAATGAAGAATAACGAAAATATTGTGAAATAGAAAGTATGTACTTTAGGCCAGGTCGCCAAGCTGTTTGGACACNATTTGCGCATCAACTGAATTTCAATAGATCTTTGATTTGTTGAGTATTTTCCTAAAATGCCATTGTACCTTTCAAAACTGAAGCACCAGAAAGAAAAGACAGGACCATAATCAATGATACACTCTTTCAGATGGCAATGCAAATGCATATTGGGTGTAACAACGTCTACGCCWTACAAGGTTTCAATTGTTTTGCAGAACTTTAATAAAAGTCTATCTGCTTCTAATACTTCATTTAAACGAATCACGCGAGAAGAGAGCAGACGTGATGCCTGGACAAATATTCGCCAGCACTCCAAGTGTTTTTTCGGCAAAATTCCTTGTAACGCACTTATGCTAAAAAGGTTTGTCCAGCTTCTCCATTGATCTGCTGTGAAGCCTCCAAAACTTGACGCTATATTTGAAGGAATGCGACCAATGTCACTTGCTACTTCTGCACTGTCTACCCTCTTCTGGATTTCACGGAGTTTGTCTTCCGTTAATATTCCTTTTTCAATCCAAATTTCAATCATTTTTTTTGCAGTCCCAAGATACAAATTATGCATGGGATCTATGATGCAAAATCTAACTGCAGAGAAGTAAGACAAATTATTTAATACAGAACATCGCGTCCCCAATTCACTTTAAAGGTTTGATAGTTTTTCTTGAGTACAGCAGGTTTTCAATTTTTCACACGCATCCCGATGGATTTTGTCGTTTCTCTCTCCCCAGTTTTCCCTATCGAAACCGGAATAGTCTCTCTTTCCAAAATCCCCACCAAATACTTCAAAGCACTTTGAACAGCCACGCTTTGCTGAGTGGGACAAAAACCCACAAACTTTTCTTGCGGCAGGCAGATCACATGCCACRCAAAGCAACGCTGCTTTGAAAGTATGTATTGCTCCATTTAAGAAAGACTTTGACTGAAATCCTAAGTCCCATAATTCTTCTAATTCTTTAACTAATGGGGCAAGAAAAGGATTTATAGATGTACCTCTATTGATAGAAGGTATGATACCCACGAGTATTACGTTCTTGAGCTTGAAGCGCTCTGATCTTGGGAGATTCATGACTGTTAAATATATCACCCCAACAGAATTCGTTCCATGTTTGAAAGGCTGGAAAAAATCAAAGTTTAGCATCAACCCATAGTTGCCAAATTGATTTAGGAAGTTTTTGAAATCCTTCCAGACTTTACCATCTGTGACGTCAGCAAAAACGTCTTCAGGCAGCTTGCGATTTTTCCATTTTYCACAGTCCATTTGAAAAGCACTTGATGACACGCATTTTCGTAGGGAATCGATTACACTTTTATAGCAGTATACTTTACGAGGATAAAAAGACTTCTTTTCCCCTTTCAGCATAACTTCTTTCATTATGTTTTCTCCACATGGACGTCTTCTTGCCGCATGAGGATGACTAGGGAATTTTACATAAGTACACTTAAGGCTTCGTTTCCTTCCTCCAATATCGGTTATTACAGCTTCCTTTAACGTGTACAGTGAATTGCATTTGGGGCATACAGCAAACTTTATGAATTCGTCTCCATCTATCTTAAGAATTTTCCACAATGTATGYATTGAAGAAGGAAATACGGCAGCCAAATTAGCGACAAATGCGCAGTGTTTCCCGAGAATCTTGAAAAGGGCACTTAAAAATTCTAGTAGTAATCTGATAGCGTTACCGGTATGGCAGATGTTGCTTGCCATACACTTATAAAAAGGCAAATCCATTTCAATAGCCCATGTTCAGCGCATTTTTGTTTTGTATATTGATCTGCTTCTTTCTGATCAGTGTCATTTCTGACTTCTTCTATTTCTTCATCCCATTGTTCGTTTTCGTCATCTAACTCTTCATCGCTCATATGACCGGCTTCGATGGGCAATTCTGCAACGTGACAGCTCGTTCCCGCGCTATTTTGGTTGGTTTGTTCTCCCTTCGAATTATGCGACTCCTCTTGGTGACCATCGACGTCCAGTATTGGGTCATCCGACGTACAAATCAGGCTTTCGTCAGTTTCATCATCGTCATAATCATATAAGTGATGGTCAAATGCAGCGGTGTTTTCAACATTACCTATCTTTGTTGAGCAAAGCCATTTGTCCCCTCCAAAGTAATTTTCTTTTTTATGTTCGATAAAATATCGTGAGGAATATGACTGATCACATCCAGGACAAACAGTTCTGGTTCTTTTACGAGGTCTTTCCATGGCAAGTTGCAGAAAATGAACGAATTTTGACTTGAAATATTGCTTAATAAAGCGTTCCAGGAAAGCGTTACAACAAAAATGTTACTAAGAANTGTAAGTGTGTGTAAGTGTGTGTAAGTGTGTGTAAGTGTGTGTAAGTGTATGTGGTGTGTGTGTGTGTGTGTGAGAGAGAGTTTGTCTGTTTTCGTTTTTTCCTACACATTCTTCTCCGATGCGGATATCTCATACCCTTTATTGCACCGTCCCTGGACAGTAGTTTATTTAACGTTAAGGATGTAATCCCCAATGATATGCGCTCGCGTATTATTTATAAATTTACATGTGCAAAAACACGCATCAAAGAACATCTCTCCTGTTGCTCTCTCAAAAGACGAATCACTATGGACGGTAGGTGCGCGTTCGGAACTAGCGGGCGGCATTGTTTGAATATTGCGTCAAAGTTCACTCTCTCTTGATGGTTTGAATCACGTGCCTCGTAAACCAAGTGTTCTAAAGACGCTATTAGAGCGATGGGGTCGATAAGAGGGGCAGGGCGGCTTGCCAGTTGTCGCACGGTATTGAGCGCCCTCGTAATCCCATCAACTGCTACTGTGGACTGCAGGGCTTCAACTGTTGTTTTCAACGCATTTAGTTTTTAAATTTGAAAAAAGAAAAAAAAATCACTTTCACGATTGGCAGCACAACATCCCTGATATTTATTCACGACACAATGAAAACAAAAAACAATTATAATTGCTTTACTCAATATAACAAATAATAAGGCGTATTGAATTGTATAAATGGCATGAAAGAAAGACAAAACATTCTGAAAGCGCATAAATTTACATTTATATTTCCTTTCGTATTTTATGAAAAACTAACTGGAAAACACTTCATGCTTATTGCAGTGGATTTAACTGCCCATAGCAGCCTTCGGATTTGTTTATAACACTCCAAATCCAAAATAATTCATTATACAAAAAGTAAATTCTTCAGAAGGTTTTGAATATATTTGCATGCATGCAACAGGTATTGTTAGGATATTAGCACATGTGTTGGCACTAAGTTTCCTATTTGAAGCTGCATTTGGTGAGAACTTAATTGTGGGCCTTGGACAGAACCCAATGGCAGGGATATCATCAGCACCAGTGACAATCTATAACACATGATTCAGATTGACAGTTATCTCTTTGTCTTTAACAGTGGTTTTAACATTTCCCTACTCAACAACTTCAAGGTACTGAGTAAAATTAAAAGCAATCTTTTGCTCGACAGCATACTTTTGTTTTACAGACTTTAGGACTGAACTCTGGAGCTAAACATTTCATCCACAAACTTAGCAGTCAGGCCTTCGACATACTAGTTGGCTTCAGTAATGGATGACAAGAGAACATGGTTGAGTGCAACTGACTAATACAAATCATCTTTATCCTCGAGGTAAACTAAGGACTTGCAATACCGTGCAGCAAATCTGTAATCACTGTTAAAGGTAGCTTGGTTCTTAAATTCTTTTTCATCTGTAATGTGTGTGTGTGTGCGTGTGTGTGAGTTTTTGTACAAAATTCTACACTTCACTGTTTGGTATATAATCTACACTTGGAGTTAGGCTAGTTATGTCCCATGTTATAATGTATTCCACAGCATACATTGTGAAGTATTTTGGCCAAGGCAACCCTTGCAACAAGCCTGCCGCTGTCATTTTCCCATAAAAATAAAATTCCTTTGCATTTAGGGCGGAGATGTTATGCTGTTATGTTCCTTCGTGCAATAACCTTGATTGGGCAGCAGAGTTTAAGAGATCTGCCATTCTATCCCTCGTTCTTCGCATTGTTCCTTCAACTGAACTACATCCTATCCTTCTATGATCATGTGCAGTTCTCGTTCCGCCCTAATCATCTGGAATCCGTTGTCGGGTAAATTAAGCTTTGTGTATTAACGATGCACTGGCATCTGTGGCGAGCTCGCATTGGACTGCCCTTGTTTTCATGCAGTTAATAGTACTCCGTTATGTTTGGCTGTCTTATTCCTGCCGACCTTTATTGTTATGGAACCAAAAAAGTCCCAAGCTGTGTAAAGAAAGGGTGGAGTGAACGGTTGGTGTCTGCACTATGGAAGATCTGCCATTAATTGTTTTCTTGCTTCCATATTTCTACAAAGCAAAAGAGTCAAAAGCCAATGCTGTGACCTTTGACGATCCAGTATTTCTTTCGAACTTTTGCTGCTGTGGTGGCAATTCCGGGATGGCCAAACTGATGCCTATCCCGTGTATCCAGCTCTTATAACATAGTAGTGTGATATGTTGTTTCTCATATGACGTGAGTGGTGGATCAACTCGTCTGCCGACTCTATAGTTTCCCAAATTGGGAAAATGCTACAAAAATCAATCTTTGGTTCAAGAAATCCCATGGAAATCCCCTAATACTAAAATATGAGCAAATTCGATTTTTCGACTGTTGCCGGCATATRTTCGATTTTTGCTGACATCCTCTCTTAAAGCCTAATTAAATAAAAGCTGTAAAAACTATAATATCTGAACAGTCGATTACAAAAGTCTATTATGTATAGGAAATCGCACAAATCTCGAATAAAATTCGGAATTCATAACTTGGAAAGTTTTTAAAGTTGGACGAGCCTTTAGACCAGTTCGATTAKAGAACTTTCAAAACATCGCGAGTATTTATAATCTATTTAAGTTAGCTTAAACCCTTTGGAAATTCCGAATCGTATGAGAAAATTGTGCGATTTTTWGTTTATAATACACTCAACAAAATTGAGCAAATTAATTGGGACTCTACATAGTCCAATTTGAGACTAATTGTATTCCTCTGGTCCAATCACAATCAAGTAATTTAGTTGAGTTAAGTATAAGCAGTATAAATACTGAAAACTATCTTATAATTGTGTTATGGTCAACTGAAGTGGCTTTCATTTTGTATGTGCAATTTAACTCAACGCGTACAGCCGAATTGGGTAAATGCTGTAAAATCTAAAAGTCTCTASCTAAGAGATGTTTCAGCCTGACAATAGGATTTTTTTTACTATTTTTTTACCCTATTTACTAGATGCCATTCCTTGATACCTTAATCATGTTAAYAGCGCACTTTCGATATCTGGTAGAGTGATCACGCACAAAGCAAATATTCAAGACGATGCTCCGGGAAAACAATGRGTTATCCAAATATATTCTTTTGTTTTCCCGGAGCGTCATCTTGAATATTTGCTTTGAGCGTGATCACTAAACCAGAATATCGAAAGTGCGCTAATATATCTGTTTTCGAGTAAAACCTTGACATGGTTTACATAGAGAAATAGTGCTCAAGACTGGAAGGGAATGATAAATAACTGAAACGGCCATGAACCAACATAACACCCAAAGTAAAAAAATGAATAGTTCTTTCATGARTTTTAATCTGACTATTATACTATGCATTACTAAACAAACATGCATGCACCCACAAATCAATCACTGTAAGACAACCACTTCACTGGCAGTTGCTCTCAGAAAATGGTTTGATAGTCTTTACTTGTGAGGACTCCTGCAACCTCCTTTTGTAATGTAATTTCAGATGGTGTTKACAGATCACTAAGTTTTGCATTTATGCAAGCCCATTTCAAGCAGAAGTGATACTTCCTGTTAACTGTAAACTCTTTASCCTTGTCATTCTTGTGCGGTGGGGTCCACTGTCCAGTAACCTGTACCGAGATTTCATCCCGTTCGAATGTTCTTGGGCACTTTGGATTGGAACAACTTTGCGGTWTTCCTCTAGAATGTACTTGGCCGATACTCCATGACTGTTCTTTGCACTTTGTAGACGATGTAGACGTAGATTCAGACACAGATGCAGATGCAGTAGCATCAACTGAGCAATTTCTAAAGATGTCCTCTAGCTCAGATTTTAGAAGTGCACGCTGATGAAGCACATCACTACTTTCTGGCACTTTATATACGTAAARCATTACGCATACAACATGGCCACAGATATCTCGAGGTGCAATACTTACAATCATCACAGTTAGGTATATCGGTTATTGTCACATTGTAAGTGTTACCTGTGGTGTGCAAGATACGTACCTCTTGACATTGATCATCAAGTATTTTAATATCTGAGACAGAGAATGAACTTGCAAGATGCAAGATTTCGCAATTTGTAGGAAACATTGAAATTTATTGCTCCTAGAATTCCTTCGTGGAGCTGCCCGCTTCTCTTGGTTGGATTTATCCTGCCTTCGTGTAACTTCCCCTTTCTTTGACGTTGATGGTTTATCTGAAATAGAAGTAACAGATGCACTTATTCTTGAACTGCTTTTGGTGTAAGGATCATGACGGTGGGATGACTTTTCATCAACATAGCGTTCTTGTTTACGTGGTTCGAGTTCTTCGCCGTTTACTACATAATCATCAAGCTCTTTACAGAAAGATGTTCATCTCATGATGTCTTCTTCTTTGTAGGTSTTGTGTAGATGGCCCATGTCCTCCTCTGTATGAACCACTTCGATATCCCTCAAGTCTTCTCTTGATTTTGATGCTTTCTGCAACATCCTCCCTACATGCTTGGATGAGAGTTAGGTTTTCAGCTCCAATATGATGCCACCRTGAATGATGAACTTCTGCCATATTTGTTTTTGGTACATTGAAGCCTGGTTTAAATGCACGGAAAACATGAGATCTACGGTTGCTCCACCATTCCCACCAGTTTTTTAAGAACGGGTGTCTRTCAATGAAATTTTCTAGTTTGACTTTTACTTTTTCATACATGTTTATTGTCGATGCCTTCAAAACTTAATTGCATAGAAAGCCATACTCCTCTTGAACATCTTCTCCCGTCAATTTTTTTGCATTACGGTTGACTGTAAAGCCCCAATGGATCTCGCAACTAACRGCTCTGTTGACTTCATCTGCTCCAAGTGTTTTTTCTAAAGAGGACCAAAATCCTCCACTTTCATCGAAAACGTAGAKATGCGGTTTGAATAAGTATTGTCGCCAACGTATTGCCGTGCATCATTGAGGAAGGTCCAAAACATGCTGATGCTTGACTTACTCTCAGTTGGGCACTCCATGGTGGCAATTTTGGTCATTTCCCTTATATTTGGATCACACATTACAAGGGATATTGTTATATATCCGGTTACACGATTGTGCTGACCATCAACATGACATGGTTCTWCTTTCAGATGACCATCTCCTTCTCTATCCATCTGCAAGGCCAATGAAARTTGTTCTTTACTGGTTTTAAAAACTATTTTCTTTTCACAATCTACTTTGTAGATCAGGAATGGATCATCGAGTACTTTATCAACCTTAGACTTGTACTGCATTACTGCATCATAACTATGGCCAACTGGTTCAACCTGTTTTGCTGCTGCATCTTTTATTCTGTAAAGTACTTTTTTATCTATCAAGCTGTCTGCAAGTTATTCTATATCTTCGAGAGATGCTCCTTTTCTACAGCTTTAATGATGTTGTCGTTGAACATCCTTCCTGGCTTTAAACTTTTCAGCTTATACTCTGTTTCATCAAACATTGTTTTCATKATGTGACGCTTAACAGGAACACAAGTATGGAAACCGTAATGGAATACAGTAACCTTAACTTCTCCTTCAGGAAACTCCCAGATCTTCTTGGTTTTACATGGAATATACTCAGCCACTGCTCCACAAGTGCTACATTTCATTTCATTTCCTCTTTTTATCAAACTGAACTCTATTCACCTCATTAAACTGGCGCTTGTATCCACAGTCTTCATTTACACAACGATAGGACCCTCAAAAAGCGTTTTCCAGAAAAACCATAACGTCTTGATGTTGTGTAATGCGACCATTGCCTTACATCTTGGGTAGAAGCCATTTTCTTATCTTTGTCATACTGCACCCTGTAGATTTTCATAGCGTCAATGTCATATGGCAGTTGGGCTACATCTTCTATGGGGATATTGCTCCAAAGTTCTGGTGTAAGTTTGAAGGATTCGTCCCTATGAAGTTGCAAACAAAAACATACACTGAATATCAGCAAATTTAATTATATTCACTTCCCAATGAATATACTTGACGTTATACAAAACATTGATTAACAGAGACTTGTTAGCAAGGGAGACAGGGTGGATGCATTGCAAATGATGTAACCCCCTAGCCATGGAAGGAARAATTCTCTGACCCTCCCCTTGAGTTTGCATAACCTAAAATCCCATGAAATAAAATAAAGTGAAATGATCCTCTCCTCTGCTAATCCCTGACAASTCCCTCACTACTGGGGAAGCACGGGTGACATTGTGGTGTAAGCTCAGTACAGTTTTAGCACTACCTAAACTTGGAAAAATAACACTGCTGTTCAATAACAACTTAAAAAATGATATCTATTAGCTTACTTTTGTGTGTTATCAAGTGAGACGTGTGTATCATTTTCTTTTTGGAATAATTTCCGTGTACTCGCTGATGGTTTCTTGATGCATTTATTTGTTCCATCTTTGGAGTATTTTCAGTACTTGTCACAACCTTGAATTTGAATTTATTGAAAATCTCAATTTTTAATAAAAGCTACTTTAATCTTTAATGAAAAAAAAAAAAGAAAAAAAGAAAGTTCCCTTGTGAAACATAGGGTGCGAAAAAATTAATTGTAGAGTTCTTTTCATGTATATGGGTTGCAAACCAAGGGTATTACAAGTAACTTTATGGTCATGTCATGACGCCATATATTCAACAGGRCATCTCCAAATTGTACAAAATCATTGACCAACTGGTTAGAATGATTGTACCATGAATGTAAAAAACTAAAAACTACACTAATTCATATTATACTTACTATAACTTCTTTATCATCTGTTTGCCTAATAAAAWTCATATAAAGTTAGGGGAAACCAGTTTGTAGTTTATGAAATGCCAACAAGCTAAAAACTGATCAAATATCACTACATACCCAAAAACCGAGAAAGAAATCTTACCTTCGAAATCCATGCTGAGGAAACGGAAAATAATAATCCGGTGGGGACTGGACACTAATAACTGGTGTCTGTGGGGGGAGGGAACGGTTYGATTTGGATAGTGTTTGGGTTTCATGTGTTGACAACCAAAAATGGCGAACTAAGGTTCCAGCGATCGAGTCAGTCTGTTCATAATGACATAAAGTTTAATATCTAAGTGGCGAAATGTTCCTGAGAAATTCTTTGATTGAAGAGTCTTCAGTAAACCTTCTTCAAGCCAGTGAGAATTGCGGAATTTTGTAAAAAATGGCTAAATATAAGATAATAATAATTGATTCCAAATACCAAGTTTCACAATTAATTCATTTTGTCAAACATTTTAACATATACACATATAAAGTGTTATATAATCATCTGGTAACTACTGACTTTATTACTCATATAATATATGAATACCATGGTCCGTAAAAAATATAAATTAAAAAATGATAAATAATGAAWTAGAAATAAATGCAGTGAAATACATGTGAAATTCGGGCTGATGTAGATTGGGTTTATGATTAAATTTGGAAATCCCATTCAGGGAAGTTGCTTTGCTCTTTTGTTTAGGGATTTTTTATAGGCCTTATGAAGAGCTTTTTTAGATCTAGTAAATCTTCCCCCTTCGCAACTAAGTCTCTTGACCTTGTAGCAAGTGACTTTCATTCCTCCATTTTCATCACTTTCTCCGTCGCTATCTTCACTCGACATTGCATCCTCTCGTAGAACTTCAGTCACCCTTCCAAAATTTGCTGGTGCCATCTAACCATTTCCAAAGCCATAATTCTTCTAGTTCTTCTAGCTTCTTTAATAAAGCATATTTTACTTTATTAGTTAAATCAGAAAAAAAATTTGTAAGTGAAAATTTTTGTCTTTTTGTGCGTGTGCTTGAGGTGACTTGTAATGTCTCTTTAGATTTTGATCACATCCCGTGGAATTTTTTAAATTGTATTGTTGCTGTATAGTCACATTCTAAAGAATATATTACATATATTGTAATATATTGTAACCTACATATTTTCTTCTGCCATTTTTTTCTGCATGCCTCTTTGTGARCCTCATACTTCCGCTCTACGATCTCTTTATTTTTCTCGTATAGGGAGAGGAAATATCGTCGTAATACCGCTGTAGGAGTACAAACAAATAAAATTATAACATTTTATTATTATTTTATTATCTTAACAAATAAGCATGATGAATTGATTTTTTTTCTTGAACATTTTAGGTTCTGCCAGGGTTGTCGGAGATAAAATCTTGAAGATATCGGGCATTCAGTACATACTGAGTAAATGGTTCGGCGGTTCTATATTTCAGTAATTTAAAGCAGTTGGTGTAGAAATGGAGAAAAAGGGGGGTATATAATGGTATCTTTGCAACTCCGACCCCGGGTTTCTGGGAATAGCATTTTGGAATGTTTCTCTTACTTTCCATTTGTTCTTTATACCAAAGGCTTTTCTCTTGTCCGCCATACTGGTGGTAAACCTCAATCACAACTCGGCCAACTATGKTAATATTGTTATCAGAGTCAACGCTACAAAGAGRCGAATCATTGCGATTATTACCACCGGAAATCCCAAGCTCGAATATATGGGGTCGATCATATTTTATGTAGAAGAATAAGACTAACTATAGTCTCCCTCGCAGCCGTTCTTAGTGTCGCTCGTCACTAAGGAAGATTGTGTGACTACCGACAATAAGTACGGCTGCGAGGGAGACTATGCTAACTATAGCTTAATTATTATATTATAAAATAAGACTATGAAAAACCCCTCGGTTCCCCTGATATTGATCAAGGGCATAAACCCAACTTACTAACRAAGCTCGACCAGATCAACAAAGCTAGTAAATTATTTTCCAAATCATATTTGATCTAAAAAAATCCCCATTGCGTGATTTCATACCGTRCGGGGGCCTKGCACTACCGGATTTTTCCGGACTTTTAAAAATTCCATTTTCAAGATGGCGGACGACAAGAACAAAAGATGTTGGCATTGGTCTTGTGCCGGTAAATTCTGCAAAAACACTTGGAAAACGCCAGATGTTGAGTATTATATACTCTAACTAAATTACCTTTAGCGAGCAAGAAGCTTCAACATGCCTATTTAGCTGTACTGGGAAGACGAATAGACGAACTAAATTGCAAAAAACAAGTAATTTGCTCAAGGCATACGGAAAAAGGCGAGATTTGGAGGRCTTACCAACTATTAAATTCMCAAAAAAACGGAGACAAGCAAYTTTCAGACTTGAAGAAAGAGCACAGGCATTGTGCTGCTGTTCTAATTGCTGGCGAACAAAAGGCAAAAATTTAAAGTACTACCGATTTAAAGAGAAAAGCCAAGGAACTGATTTTAATCGTGATTTCATTTGTTCCGCTCACTGGAGGAAAGGAGAATGTCAGAGTTTAGATGACCTCCCGGATTTAGCTTGTGAACCTACATTTATCGACAAAAAAGTGACCAAAAAAACCAYCCCAGTCAGGAAAATTGAGTCTGCAAAGCGATCACTCACCGAGCAGCAGTCAGAAGGCAGCAAGAAGAAAAGAAGGAGGGTTCTCTCTTATAACAGTTGTATTGAATCTTCTAATGTTGACCTTTTGCAAAATGAAATTGATAATCTTAAGGAAAAGCTGAGAGGGAAAACAAATGAGGTAAATCAATTATGTGATTTGGTCAAAACCTTGGAAGTTCAAAATGAAACATATCAGTCGCAGCTGAAGCAATTTGCTCATAAGACTGAAAAATCAACATTTTCCTATAAATGCTTGAAAAAGAATCCAAAGCAGTTTTTCTATATGACTGGACTGTCTGTTGATTTTGATTGTCTGTTTGCCTGTGTTGAGCCTTACATATCTGCTATGATATACCCAGATTGTAAAACTCACCAGCAGAGGAAGTTAACAAAGAAAACCGAGCTGATGTGCTTTATGACAGTATGTAGACATACTTTGCACCTTGGTATTGTGGGGTTCATGACAAATACAAGTGATTTAACTCAATCAAGAATCTTTACAGCATGGGCTGTTTTCCTATCAACTCTGTTTGACCAACTAGACCTGAGTCCCTGCCCAGGAGAGGTGATTTCTTTCTTACCAATAGATTTCTATGCTTCAGGGTTCAAGGACACAGTGCTGTTAGGTGATTGCACAGAAAATTGGATAGCTTCACCAGAAAACTATGACATCAGCAGTACAACCTTCGGTTCATATAAAAATCATGATACTGGCAAAACARGAATTTGGATTACACCTTATGGCAGTCTATTAATGTGCACTGATATATATCTAGGGGCAATTACAGATAATGACTTAACTGAAGACTGTGGCGTACTTGATAAGGTGAAAGATAAAGGGGCTGCAGTTCTGACAGATAAGGGGTTTGGAATCGAAGACCTGTGTCATGCCAAAGGGTTGTCCCACAATCGCCCTCCAATGAAGTTTTCTGTGAAAAAAAGAACTTTGATGTGGCCACCCTACGCATATATAATGAAAACTACATAGGACGCTTGCGAGACTGGTCCATTTTGAATGCTTGCTAGCCCAAGAACCGATGTGACATTTTAGGTTGTGTATATAAGGTGTTGGCCAATATTGTAAACTTTTTATTTGATCCTATTTGTCCTAATGAGGGAGCTGAATCAAAGTCTAATGATAAAACAACAGATGCTACAAGACCACTTACATTCTCTTTATAGGTAGGTACTCAAGATTTCCATCACAATGAAACTTTATTATAGAGAGCTTGCACCTTAATTCCAGTCTATTAACATATATATGTGCAAATGCAATCCCAAGTGTTAATTAAAAATAAGTCTATGCTTCAGAGCAAAAAAAAAAAAAAAAAAAAAAAAATAATAATAATAAAATTAGAATAACTTTGCAAAGTCCTTTTAATTTGATTTATATACATATTTGAGTTTTTTTTATTTTCAACAACAACAGCAACAATAGCGAAAATTATAATAAATACTTTGCACAGTTATTACTTTAAAAAAGCAATTATATACATTCATCATATGGGCAGCAYACTAGCTTCCTGTTTGAAAACTAACTGGCTAAATTAATTTTGCTTCAGAATTAACCCATGATCTAAAATAGCGAGTATTTTCAAAATTAGGGTGTGAACCTTCAAGCTTCTCTCCAAGTTTTGCAAGGCTTGGATGTTCAAAATGTACCCAGTAGACTGACATGGGCGTGTTTTCATACATGTGTACCAATAAATCRAACATAATTTCACTCAAAAACATGGTTTTTTGTAATAGGAAAATAAGCAGCAACTTTGTTTTCTAGAACATAGGACATCAAGTAAACTAGTGCTGTTGGTGTGCATAGTTTGTTTTGTGAACATAGTTTGGTTTTTGCAATAGGCTAGGTGGTTGAGGATGCAATTTACATGTGCAGTGAAACCCCTCTATACCGGACCCTCAGTATACCGGAATTCTCTATAAACCGGACAAACGTTTTGGTCCGGAAATTTTTCCCATATATCTTTTGTAAAATAAACCTCAGTAAACCGAAACCTCTCTATTCCGGATACCGGACGATAATTTCGGTGCCAAACGCTATTTGACAATAGAATTCAACCCTGCCAGTCCAGAAGAATGTACCTTTGTTTCGGAACTACCATCACTAGCGTATTTGCGGCTATATAAATTCTACAGTCTACAGGGACAACTTCTAAACTCACAAGATCATCGAAAATATTTTTTAAATAGTAAATCTTGTTCACAAATAGACACATAAAGACTAATTAATTGTTTTCAATACATAAATGCTCAAACAGAATGCATAACGAAGGTTTAATAGTGTTGAAAAATACTAAAGATCGAATGGTTCGCGAAGTTGCGGCCGCCATGTTTTTTCATGTCACATGGCTTTGGGGTCATTCCCAGTCCATACTGTACCTTGATCAATGTCTGTTATGAAGCTATGGGATTTAGACTCGGCACTTTTTGGTCTTCACACAGCTTCTGTGCTATCTTCAAACCTTGGTTTCAATACATGTTCATTATACTCAAAGCCAGCTTCTCTTTTTTCAAATTCAGTTTTGTATTCAATTTTGTATAAAAATGACTTTCCACTGGCTTCAATGTCTCAATTTTAGTATTTACATTCTCTTCCATTTCCAGCACATCTCTTCTATACCAATCACTGTAGTCACTGTCAAGTACTAAGAACCTTCTTCTTTGCTCTGACCTTCTTCATATCTCTACTGGCTCCACGAAGATTCCTCATGTACTTTAACTTAATTTGTGCTGCAGCTCTTCCAATATTTGAACTCCCCTTTTTATGCCATCTTTGAAGCTTTTCAGTACATGACTTATGAAGATAGAGTTTCTTGTGATCACTGTAATAATTAAGTTGAATTAAGAGGGCTATCACATGGCAACACAATCAACTTTTGCCACCTGCACATCCACAGCATGCTTGTAGAGGTGTATTTTTGCAAAACAAGTTAGTAGCAGGTCTGCTCACACTTCCTGTATATGATTTAAGAATATTAGCTTTTACATAAATGACGCTAGAATGTTCATTTGAGTGACAAGCTTTTACAGACATGATTCTTCTTGAGAAAAATAGTCGGTTAGCCTTTCTATACTGTCCTTTCCCTCCACCACACTTGGCCTTCTGATATTCCTCAATCGTATTCTCGGTAACGATTGGTACGGTTTCTTCTGCATCCTTGCTTATAACTTTCCAGTTTGCTGCTGGATGTGGAATAGAAAGAGGATCTAGTGCCGTAGAAAATTATAATCTTCTTGGATTCGAACGTTTTTGTCGAACAACACCTTGAACTTGTCAAGTGGCTCTAAACTTTGCACGAGTTCTTTCTTCTCTCCAGAAACTTTCAACTTCAGAGAGTTACAGAAATATTGAAGTTTTTCTTTGCTCAGTTTAGGTAGATTTTCCGAGTAAATATCGGCAAAAATAATGTCAAAACAGTCGTGTTTTTCTTCATTGGTGCTTTTATCGTCCGCCATCTTGAAAATTAAATTTCTAAAAGTCCGGAAAAATCCGGTAGTGCCAGGCCCCCGCGCGGCATGAAATCAAGCAATACAATCCCTCTAATAAAGCTCAAGTATAGAGCTTGGGCTGCCTGTGTTATTGAAAGAGAAGTAAGGCTGTTATGAAGTTTAAAATTTTGATTACCTTTCGTCTATTATTACAAAACTAGGATATAAAATTTTATAAACTTGAAGTAAGAGCTCTGCATCATCTGAATCTAAAAAACTTTGTTTGAAATTTGATGGACAAAAGACT